CCTTGGGAGACAAAGTTTTCCTTTGCATGTTGGAAGAAATTATTCGGTCTGGAAATAATGAAGTTAAAGCATTGAAGAATTCCAGGCTGGCGCCTGTACACATTTCCCATAAGCATGTTAGCAACAGGGCTGAGGTGCAAGGCTGTGCTTGTCAGATAAACACAGCTGCCTTGATTCCAGTGATTGCACATACAGATAGCTGCGGAGCATGTTTATAAACACACAGAGTTTCCTTCCCACTTTGGGGGAGGCAGAGGACCAGACCTCCATGTTCTTCTCATTTGAACATGTGATGGCATGATTGGAGCCATCTTTATTGTTGAATTACCACATAGCAAGTATGGTTTTTATTCCCTTATCACCCATCTTCCACCTGTAGACCATTGCACCAAATCCCACCACTGGAGCTTTAGCCAGAGGTGAAAGGTGTTAAGTATAGCTATGTCACTTTAAATCTTGTTAAGTATTTCTGCTGTGAAGTGCATAAATCAAAAGGCCATTGGTCACATCATAGCACTCAGGGAGGGATAGCTGAGGCTACAGCTGTAAAGGACTGAAAAAGGAGCAGACAGAGATCACAGTGACCGTCATTGCATTTTCAAGAAGTTGTACTTTGGGGCCTCCTTCTTACGTGATCATTTTCCTGTTAGTGAAAACATTCCAACAAGAAATCAGTTGTACCCTCTACCAGACATGTATACTTATAGATGTTAAGTGCCATCGAGTTGGTTGCAATTCATAGCGACCTTGTGTAGGGTTTCCACGGAGCAGCTGGTGAGTTTGAACCAAAGACCTTAGAGTTCAAACCACCCCTGTGGTTCTGCGCCTGTCCTACAGCACCACATCAGAACATGGCTTTTAAATTGATAAACTGCTCTAGGTTTTCAAATTTATAACTCTGGGTACCAAAACTAGGAAGAAAATAAATTTTAGACTTTCGCCAAAAGGATACCCTTGAGGGGAATAGGAAGAGAAGAGCACAGTGTTGGGTTAGCAGATGAGATCTTCCTGAGTCTCATCTTTCCTTGATGGGAAAGTGCAGATGGTAAGGCCCGAAGTGGCAGAAAGAGCCTTCCAAAGGATGACAGAAGGGATGGGAACAAAATTCGAGAACAAAATGTGTAGAACTAGACAAAGGGTTCCTAGTACAGTGTTGGAAAGGGAAGTAATAACATAAAAGTGATGGAACATAACAGTTTTAAATCCAGTAAACAGAAGGGGTTTTCTCGCTTATTATGTGTGGCACTCCTCTTCAACATCATCATTTACTGCTTCATAAAATCATTATCCCTGAATGTTCTGAGGTAGGCTTGAGGTAAGAAAAATGCATTATTTGTGCCCATGAAAAGTGTCCCCAGCCAAATGATGTGTAAAGCTCTTTATAAGTAAATTAGCCGGTAGGTGTCCTCTGTCTTTCTCCTGTGGCCCTTCCTGTGGCCCTGTTTGGGCACCTATTCTGGATTTACTTTCTTATTTAACAGCTTCACCATCCCCTCTTGTCACCTGAGCCAGAAACTTCAGAAAGTACTGTGCTATCTTTGGCTACATAGCAAATTACTCTCAAATTTAGCAGCTTAAAAGAATATTTATTACCTCATATAGTTTCTGAGGAGCCTTGGGGTGGCACTTGCAGGATCAGCACTGGACTGCTAACCACAAGGTTGGCAGTTCAAACCCACCAAGCAGCTCCTCAGAAACCCTATACAGGGTTGCTATGAGTCAGAACAGACTCGACAGCAGTTAACAGCAACACAGTTTCATAGGGTCAGGAATCCAGGAGCAGCTTGCATGGTTCTGGTTCAGGTTCTCTTTCACAAAGTTGCAGTCGCTCTGCAGTCTTCTCAAAGTCCTTCCCAGCTCAGCCATGTGCTTGTTGGCAGGTGTCAATTTGTCGCTACCTACAGGCTATGGGCCTCCTTTTTTACTCCATGGGCTTTTCCAGAGGTTGCCCGAGAACACTGATGGCGGAAGAGAAGAGCGCCTGTAAGACCAAAGCTGTTTTAGAAACACTTCAGCTCAGAAGTGATGAAGTGACATGCCATCACTTTGACCAACCCTGATACAGAAGGGACTCCACAAGAAGGTAAATGCCCAGAAATTGGCATCAAGTGTGGGCTACCTTGGAAATGAACTATGTCAGCCAGGTCTCTGAAACCTTCCTTTACTTCTCCCTTCCCTTCAGCAAATCACCGAATCACTCTGACTCTTCCTGTGCCCTGTTTCTCAGATAGGATGGCGTCATTTCAAATCTGATTGTTTCCAGGAAGAGATGTCGAAGCTGCTGGAGGAAGTCTTGGGAATCACATACCTCAGGACACAGGTGGAATGCATATAGCAAAATGCTGATATGGCCACCAACCCAACCTTATAGGGGAAGGAGATCAATCATCCTGTCAAGACACACTTTGGGGAGGGATCTGTTCACTGTGGAAGGAAGAGAGGGCCAGTCACACCAAAAGCACCCTAGGAAAACGAGGTGCTGAGCACAAAAGTTAGATGGCACATGTATTTTCAGATGTGGTCTAAGCACCTTGGTGCTTGAGATCATAACACGGTCAGGTCAGAGACAGGCTTAGGGAAGTATTGTCAAGGACCGTTATACTCCCCTGTAACATCACAAACAGGCTTAGCCCCACAAGTCACTTTGCCTGATTTCTGAGTTCCCACACCTGAGTTAACCTAAGAAAAGGAGTTTTATTGAGGAATAATATAGTTTGAGCTAGGTCAACCCACCAATTCTGACTCATAGTGATCCAGTATAGGGTTTCAGAAGCTGTATATCTTTGTGGGAGCAGCTATAAATCCTGTGGAGCAGCTGGTGGGTTTAAACTGCTGACCTTCCCATTAGCAGTCCAGGGCTTATCCTATAGGGCCACCAGGGCTCTGAGAAAAAATACAAAGCACTACAACTTATAGTGTCAAGAAGTGTCTGCACACCAAGGCTTCCTAAAGTTCCTGGGAAGGTGGAAGTAGAAGATAATGGGATATTTCCATGAACTTTTGGAAGTTCTTATGCATGGGGAACAAAGGAAAGGTAAGGGGTTGATTGGTTTTTAAAAAGCTCAGTTCAGCTTGAAATCCTTTGAAATGCACAGGTAGGCCACTTGGTTAGGAAGGAGTGAGTTACCACCAAGGTGAGTAGTGTAAGCTGGTTCGGGTTATACATATAGTAGCCGAAGGGGATCACTGTGGATATCAAAATCCAAAGATGCTCATGTCCCTTATGTAAAATGGCTTGATATTTGCACATAACCTATATGTGTCCTCCTGTACACTTTGAATAATCTCTGTTGTTTGTTAAGTGCCCTGGAGTCAGTTCTGACTCATAGTGACCCTGGGTAGGGTTTCTGAGGTTGTAATCTTTGCAGAGTCCTGATGTCGCTCCGTGGGATATCTGCTAACCACAAAGTTGATGGTTCAAACCCACAGCCACTCCTCAGAAACTCTATACAGGGTTTCTATGAGTCAGAACTGACTCCAGGGCACTTAGCAACAACAACAACAATCTTTTGGGAGCAGAAAGCCTCATTTTTCTCCTGCGTGTTAAGTGTATAGGGTTTCTTCCGAGCAGCTGATGAGCTTGAACTGTCGACCTTGCCGTTCAAACCAACCTTGCAGTCCAGTGCATTAACCCACAGCACCACACCAGGACTCTGAATAATCTCTAGACTACTGATAATACCTAATACAATTTAAATGCTATGTAAATAGCACTTTAAACTCACGCACTTAGACTTTGAGGAATTGATTTGACCACTTGTTTCCCTCTCCATCTGCCTCCCTCCCTCCAGGAATGTTTTGATATGCAGTTGGTTTGAATCTGAGACTGGAACCCAGGATGGGAGGACCACCTGCACAAGACTGTTATTGGTGTAATGCATGATTGTAGTCAGTTATAGTCTTATATGAGTGTAGTCATGAACACATTTTCTTTTGGGAGCAAATCGTTTGGTTATATCCTCATCTTTTGTTTCCTGGGAAGCCTTTTCTTCCTTCTGACTTGACTGCCTTCAGTTTGAAACTTCTCTGCTTGCAGATCACAATGATGCTAATGAAAAAAGCCAATTTACCGAAGGGAGGCAGTGTTCTGCTCTTTGTATTTACTCCATAAACCATGTGGATTAAAGATGCATTGTATTTGTCATAACTCCTGAAAAACAAAAAGTGAAAACATTTTCTAAGATGTGTTCTCAGGAGCCCATCTTCTACTCAGTGGTATCGAAAGAATGGGATTCTTTGATCTCATAGCATCTTTCCATCTCTGTCAAACACGACTTAATCATGGAAGGGATCTTGCTTTGTATGGGTGGCTTTGTATTTTTTCATCGTAGCGGAACCAGGCCATTGGTTTTCTACGCTTGCTTTGGTAACAATTCTGTACTCTGGGCCTTCCCCACCACAAGCTTGGTTGTTGTAACCTACAGTCCTGTTTATATGCCAACCCTTGTTCTTGGCCTCCATACAAGGATTCCCACAAGGGTTCCATTTAAGATGGTGGTTTCCAAGATTGGGGGTATCTGCCCGCCAGCACTAGATTTGAGACCACCAGCTTGTTTTTCCAAGCATTAATATCTCAGTGATCTCCAAACATATTTTCTTTTCCAAAATAGTTTCCAAAAAGTTTGCAAGAATGTCTTTAAAACTTTTTTTTTTTCTTTTGAAGGCATAGGGTGTAAGGGGGAGGAGCGAGGGTAATATAAATTATAACTTGGCAGACTAGTATTTGAAACTTTATCCAAAATATATTTTTCTCTATTGAAAAAAAAAAATAAAATCTACTTTACATATTTAAATAATTCAGTTGAGAAAATCTAGCATTAGGTTATTCACACAGCCCAGCCCTTGGCAATTTCACTTCAGAATGCTTTGAAACCAGTGAAGTACAAAGCCTCGAATGTTTTCTCTCTGAAAGCTCAACTTAACCTTCACTACCATGGTGGTGAGAAAAGTGACAACTCATTTTAAAGATTCTCCCCTTTCTTTTTCTTTTTCTTCTACAGGCCATGTGTTTATACTATGGGATCCCCCATAAACAACAGGGCCCTTTTTCCATGCCAGGAACCACCCGTTGCCATGTCAACATGGCAGGCTACAGTTCGAGCAGCTGCATCTTTTGTTGTTTTAATGAGTGGGGAAAATTCTGCCAAGCCAACACAGTTTCAGGAAGGTACTGTACATGTGTTCTTTGCTTATTTATGTATTGCACACATGTGGGACCCAGGAACCCAATAAGCAGTGTTTTTCTAAACTTTAAAGGGTTTTTTTATTAGTTGGGTTGGAAATGAACATACTATAAAATACCCAGCCAGAGAAAACAAACAGGGAGAGAGAAGGGGCACTCGGGACCAGGCCTGGGTTACGGGGCTCTTCATTTTAAGAGTTATCGATTCACAGATTCCTCTGGTAGTTACTTTCACTTGGTAGTTTGAGGGCCATACATGGGTGGTCTTGGTTGAAAGCTTCCTGGGTAGGCAAGTGTGTCATGGAAACATCACTAGAGCTGAGTGAACTGACCCCATCATGGAGGCTGCATATGGCTATTCTTTATGTTGAGATAGAGTGCCCCAGTGGGTATTGCCCCTTCTGATGGCTGGCCCACTGGCAGTGTCCTGGTAAAGGATATAGTTGTCTTCATGTTATATTTATCCATAAAGGAAAATGGAAGGCAAGGGCTAATATGTTTTGTCTATGAATAATTTGCTTGCAGCCATCATTAACTGTTTCACTTAGGATCTTGAGCGCATTGGTGTCAGGTAAGGATCATGTCATTATAATATTTGTTGAAAGTATGGTATCTCCATCCATATACTTACTATAGAAAATGTTAAATATATAAAAAGCATAAGTAATAAAGTAACTTGAGAGAAAAATGATAGCTTTCCCGCTCATTTCCTACCAGTATTTAAAATCACTGTGTTTAATAAGTATTATCTGTTCAAAATGATCATCATAACGTATAACATCTTTTATTCTGCTCTTTTTCACTCATAATACATCTTGGACATGTTTTAAGTCATTCAAGGCTTTTCAAAAATAGTACTTTCATGTCTCTTCTCTTGTCTGAATATGCCAGAATATAATATTTGCAACTCCTAAACATTTAAAAAATTATTTCCAGTTTTTTTTTTTTTTTTTT